AATGCAGGTGCCCTTTAGCTCCATTTCTCAGAAGTCCCTGGATTTCTGAACATGCACAGGGAGTTCCATACTAAACCTGTTTTGCATTATTGCTGCTAAATTTGCACCTGTTTACAAAACTGCAAGTTACCGTAGTTGCTCCCTGTGTGATCATTTGGCTGATTACCCTTTCTGTTAAACTTGGCATTCACGATCAGGATCAGCCATGTCAGACAATATTGATGGGAGTATTGTGACAGCAGCACCCTGTAGTACATCTCTAGAGCGAATCAGACAGAAAGCATAAGGTGGCAAAATCCCCCCTGCAATATGTACTGGAACTGCAAGACATAACATAGGTACGCCATAGGGAAAGGGGCCAAGTGCGGGGGCCCAGCTGGGATGATGTGGACGGATGGCTGAAATGGACTGCTGTCTGACAAAGTCAGACAAAACTTGTAAAATAAAGATAAAAGCAACCCCAATTTCAAGTTCCACAAACTGTTAGAGGCGGCCACAGCATGTCAAGAGCAGACAAATACAGGCTCAGATGCACCTATAGCCATTGTATGTAGTAAATCGATAGACCCAAGTGCAACTAAACTGATAGCTCCATGGGATGTGGCATCTAGAAATTGACAGAAGGGATGGCTCAGCTTCAGACAGAGTTATCTGTCTTGAAGCACTAACAGGAATATTCTTCTGAGGGATAAGGTGGGGATGCCTCTTTGTTGAGACAGCCAAGATGAGAAAGGTCACCATTGCTGTGCTGGGGCTGTCAAGAGTTTTGCCAGTTAAACTAGAATGCCAGTTAAACAGTAGTTAAGCAGTGAGGTGACAAAGTCGAACAACCCCCATTCAAGAACCAAATATGTGGTGGTTGACTGTCCTATTATTTGTGAATGCTTTGATAGCCAAGAGATTACATGTCTTATTGATACTACTTTGCAAGTCACTACCCTGCCAGAACCAGTGTTCCATCAATACTTTACTAAGAAGAAGATGACAATGGATCTCATTGATGGCTGCCAGTGAGCTCCACCTAGAAACAGTTGGGATTACATGGATGAAAGTGGAGCTGTGGGGGCAGGTGTAGGAGAAGGGCATAGTGATCACCTGCTCCTTTAAGAAAGGGCATTGTGGGTGATGTTGGACATGAATAAAATTCGGAGGCTGAAGGCTGAACTAGCTTACTAGCAGCAAGAGGCACCCTGAACACTTGGGCCCACTAAGAAAATCAGACAACTGATGCATATTCTGGAAGTACTGGAGGGCCCTGAGGCGTGCACTGTAAACATCTGAGAAAATGATGGCAGTTTTCCCTTTGGGGCAGAGGTTGTGGTACCACCTAATCAAGAATGCATACTCTCCATTAATGTCAACTCTTGCCATGCATTGCAAGGCTTTACTATCCTCATGTCATCCAAGCCCTCCAAAGTGGCTTCTTTTGTTGCTAGGACCCTGGGACAACAGCAGATGAATTGTCACTAATTACAGATATGATTGCCCCCAATGTGGGGCGCATAGAGATACAAGAGTTTGATGGTCATTGCTACGTGGCAACAGTGAATATGACTCAATGCCTGTAAGGAACAAACCAAAAGTGGGAAGGAGAGCAAATCCTACAACTCACCATGAGGAAATGACACCTACTGAAATTTTAGTGGATAAGTGGTGAGAAGTGTTTTCATCTATCCTGTGTCCAGGGACAATCATCTCTCCCGAACTCCATGTGATCGTACCATGTACAATTACATGTACCATGTACAATTACATGCGGCCATCACCCTGTCATTAATGTAAATGGGTACAGGGGCTTCATCTGAACAGGCATACCTGGGATTTCTGAGGCAAGAAATCATAGGTTCTTTCCACACAAATCCCAGAATGCAGCATAAGCCCCTGTGTGAATGGGGCCTTACACTCAAGAAATATCTTATAAAAGTTTCTGTCTCTTGATAAAAAGCGTGATGTTATGCAACTGAATAAATTCATAATGTTAACACTCCAAAAAAAAGATCCTTTCTAAAAAGTGACATTTGTTTTCAGCTGCGTCCAGTGAGAGCAGAAAATGACAGCAACATGTCTAAAATAAAGATTCGGCAATGTCCACATAAAGTACATCTGCAGAGGCATCTATGAAACAGGATTATTTCTACAGTAGAAACCAAATGTGCTCAAGCAGTAGTGCGCTGGCATCTGCTTTGTATAACTCAACCAGCAACAATATATATATATAAGGTAGTTGTTTTAACTGTTTATTGATTTGTATTTCTGTTCATCCAGTCCCAAAATGTACACAACTCTATCACACTGAACAGCCCTGTTTCACCAGATATTTTCTCTGCTGTTATAAAGTAGCACTTACAACTCTTGTTCCTCCTGCAGTCTGCAACTGGACAGTGAAGGCAGAAGCAGCAGACTGATGAGCTCATCTTTGCTATCTCCTCCTATCAGTGTGCTTCGTTCCCTGCAGCACAACAACAGATTGGCTTCTCCCTCCCCCAGTCTGAGCTCTGCTGTACAGGGACTGAAAGGTCAAATGCATGAGTGCAGAGCTGAATTAATCTATATTTCTTGTATCTGCCTGCAGTTCAGCTTTAAAGCCAAACTCCGGGTACAAATATCTTACTGGAGTACAGTAGGATGTACAGCACCTTTTCTAAAAACACACCTGCTGTATTCAGTACTGATTTATTTTCCCACAAATCATACATAAGAGTGGAAGACCAGCTCCTAATGAACCTCCGTGCCCACTGTGGCATTAGCGCTGCAGGTCTCATAGACCCAATTGCTGTGTTAGCATCTCCATCCCCCTCTCCTCCTGGCCAATCACAAAGCAAACAGCCCCAGTTCACAAAACAAGCATTCGCTTTTGTGATTGGTCAGGAGGGGGACAGAGATGTGACTGCAGCACTGTAGTCTATGAGACTTGCAGCACTAGTGCCGGAGTGGGCAGGGAGTTCATTGGGAGCTTGCCAAGATCAGCCCGAATCTGTTGTGAAGGCTGACAATTTCTTCACAATGCTTAGACCTAAAGAGGTGAATGAGGGCTTGTTTTAAAGTGTTTTTACTGCTTGCTCAGAATGAGTGAAAACTTTAGTGAACCCGAGGAGGTGAGTATTTTCTGCATATTAGGAAGTACCATTTTTTGAACCATAAATGTAATACAAACACTTACTAGTCCATGGAGTCCCACATTGTATTCCTTGCAGCTAAAGTCTTCTGCTCCCATGCCGCCATATTGAGAAAAGATCCTGTGCATGCACAGAGGAGCTGTGGGTCTTTGCCAGGTGTCCAGGACTGGCAGAGATCCACAGTGGTCTGTGCATGAGCGGGGTGACCTCATACATGCACAGACATGCAATGGGTCTTTGGCAGACATATGGTATGTTTGTGCATACGCAAGAGCTCGTGCTAAAATACTGCTTTTTGGGATGTGTGACATAGGCATCCCAGGTGGCAATAGGTGGCCACCTAGACAAGGATTCACGAGGTGGAACCCTCCAACATTTAAAAAAGGTATTCACTCTTTTTAAAAAAAAAAACTTTCTGCAATTGTGTAAGAGGGAAGGGGAAGGAGGCAGATGGGAGGACCTTCTTTTTTTGGGTGGAGGTCTGCTAAAAGTTTCATATACATGTGAGGAAGTTCCATAGCTTTAGAATTTGCTGTTCAGCATGGCACTGTTTGTTTGTTTAGTATCATTAGCCATCTTAGGCAGAGGAGAGGCGGTGAAGAACACACCCAGCACACATTCAGTGTCCTTCCAAAGGATTAGCTGACAGGATGTCCAAATTATGTAACTAAGTTCCTCTCCTAATAATAGCAGTATGTTGTGGTATTACTTGTATAAATGACATCATCTCTTTTATGAACTGCGTGGATGTTTAAATAAAATATTTTGACCATGTGATTAATTTTTTTCCCATTATGACGGTGTTCTCTACGAAGCAGTAAACAAACAGTTCAAAGAGCAATACTCAAGGTCATAATGGTGATTACACCACAGAATAAAGGGGTTATTTAGGGTTACAGGATTTTCTTTCTGCTATGGGACTAATCCGATTTTTGATTTAGGATGTTTTGCCCCTTTTGAGAGAAGTAGGAGACTAGAATTGTTTTGGGGGTTCAGTAGAATTGAGATGATAGATTAACAATGTTGATGTAATTTGAGATTATGGGGCTTTTTGTAGATAAGGCACAAAGCAATGTCCAACATATAGTGACCCTTTGTGACCAATTGGTAATCACCTTTCATTGTCCTGTATTCTTAGCTAGCAGAAGATGAAAAGTTGACATGCACATTCATATCATCACTGGGACTTAATTCATTAACTTTTTACTGTGATTGATGTGTATTTTACAATATATTAACATTATTCAAAATATGACATGCCAGGGCATTGCATACCAAATGTTTTTTTTAAAGAGAACAGAAAATTGTAGGCAAGACATTAAACTCATTGCTAAGTATGGTAAGTGAAAAGTCATTTACTCATGTTTGCATTTTATTTTTTTGGTCACCATGTAGATGTAAATACTATGGAAGGGAATTTATCAAAACTGGGCCAGAGCCTAGAGCAGTTAACCATAGCAACCAATCAGCCCCTTCAGTTTATTCCCATTAAGCAAACATTGTATTTAAGTTTGGTGTTAAAGATGATTGCAATTACAGAGCCTTTATCCCTCTCTGTCAGTCTCCTCCCCTCAACATTTCTTCTACTTCTCCCTCCATGTATCATAGGATTTCCCATTGAAGCCAGTCATGACAAATAAAACTATGTCAGTCCACAAAGGAAAAACTTCCACAGAGAAACATTCATAGGTAGGCTCTAAAGATAAGTACAGCTTGAGAAACAGGTGCCATAATTACCCTTCAGCCCTTATAAAAAATATATATAAACAAAAATATATTTTAAGAAAAATATATTTTGCTGGATTTATTTGATGTTTTTGTTCTTTAATTGAATAACATGCTTTAATCACTGGCTTAACGGGTTTTTTTCAATGTTCTAACCAGCCTAGAGTCACGCCTGAAGGAGAGTATCTACCACTGGACCATACGGATGTCAATGTTGGGTTTGACAATGGCACAGACAGAATCTTCCTTGTGTCTCCAGTTACTATTGTCCATGAGATTGATGAAGAGAGCCCACTGTATGAAATCAGTAAGGCAGACTTGGAAACTGGTAACTTTGAACTAGTCGTCATTCTTGAAGGCATGGTAGAGGCTACAGCAATGACCACGCAATGCCGTAGTTCATATCTTCCATCTGAGATTCTTTGGGGGAACAGATTTGAACCAGTCCTGTTTCAGAAACGTAATCATTATGAGGTGGACTACCTACACTTCCATCGTACTTATGAAGTCCCTAATACACCCACATGCAGCGCCAAAGAGCTTTCTGAAAGGAAATATTCCACAGTGACCCGAAGTTCATTCTGCTATGAGAATGAAGTAGCCCTTAGCTGCATCTGTGATGAGGAACCACCTGCCCTTGTGGACACAAAAACATTGAATGCTGAAGTATCTCTTGAGTTAGACATACTTAGGGTTGTGGATCCCCTAGAGGAAATATTGCTAACATGATTTTCCAAATGGATTTTACTCGACCGTTAAATAGTTGGGTTTTGTTTGGTGGGAACATAGCAGAGATCTGCTACAAATGAGGACACTACATCTTTTACATCTTTTACAGGAAAGAAAGACATGTTTGATGAGGAAAAAGTCATATTTGCTGGACAAAATTAAAGGTGTGAGCTAAACAAAGCTTCTACTGGTGCTTGTATAGCATCAGGCTTTGTTCAAGTGGTTAATGGATACTCAAATCATCTGCTTTAACAATGCTAGATTGCTTTATTTAATTTCCTTCTTCTCAGCAAATGCAGCTTTTGCACTTTGTTTGGTGATCACAAGTAAGAGTTTATCACTCACACATAATACAGCTTAAGCCTATCGATCATGTCAAAAGCATCAGCAAACTAAGGTCATGTTGAAATCCACATTAAACAAAGACAAATGTGTCTTATTTTAACTAGGGGAATACTTTATTGACTTCTGTGAAGTGTGGAATTATGATTCTCCCTAAATATCATAAAAGTATTTCCTGAGATTTTCAGAAGAAACATACAAACAGGCACAGCAAGTCATTTATGCAATGCTATCATGCTGTACCTGTCATATTCATGAATGAATGAGGTATTATGAATCCTGACACTATGTCATGATCTGTTAGCATCATTGAGGAATATGTTAGATATTCTCAGGAATATTTTTTTAGAATACAAAATGGCTTACTTAACATGTACAGGAACCAGGTACTTGATAACCATTTGTTAAATGCAACCCCGCAAAAACTATTGTTATACAACGTTCTAGTTCATATGCCATTTTTAAAGAAAAACAAAATTCCTGAAAAAATTGCACAAACATAGAAGGGGTATGTGTTATGAAATCTAATTCATGAACATTACACATCACAGGTTTTGCAAAACAAAAATCAATAACACTGCAGGATTTGCAATCTTTTTGTAAATGTAAAAACTAATATAAACATTTTCAGCACATTATGTGGCGGACTGAATCTAAATCTTTACTCTTTTGAGCTTCTGTCAAATGTTCAAAGGGTCCAAGAAAGGTGTGGAATGTCTCCGTTAGTCATATTAGCTTCCTGATTGGTTTTATTTTTGTTGAGTGGAATGCAGGGTTTTTCAAATAGCTTTTTAAGGTAGCTCTAGATAATGTGATGGGATGGCAGTTCAAGATCACTACACGGTTATTAAAACAAAATGGTGTCAAATTGTTGCATCTAATTTAATCTCAGCTACACAGAGTGCCAAATGTAAACATTTGCAGAAAAAGTGGATTAACAGGTCACTGCTAAACCCATCACAAGATGATTTTATTTGACTGTTTTCAGAACTAAGCTGAAAAACCCTATGAGTGCTGTACACCTTGCTCATCGCCAATGTGATGCATAAGTAGGAAATGTTATTAACAATCAGCAGCAGGAACCAGTCAGGTTCTTCCCTTTACTGCCAGACTTTACAAAATAATGAAAAAGAACCATTCACTCTTGTATCTCTCGGGCACTTCTTGGGAAGAGCTCTGACCACCTGCCTTGATCTTTGGGAGTTTCTTACTTGTTGCTGTTGCTTTTTCCATTTGTTGTACATCACAAAGGATGCAAAAGAAAGGAAAAGACCTACAAACTTTGGCTGAGTAATGGCTGAGCTGAAAACTTTAGTGGAAGAACCTTGACACTGGAGCTTTTGTGTAAAGATAACACCAAAACTAACATAGCACCCGATCTAAGATATGAGCCTTTAAAGCACACCTGATGGCCAATGGTATCAGGTTAGCTTAACCACTTGAAATCCGGGGTGTTAAACCCCTTCCCACCCAGGCCATTTTTCAGGATTCAGCGCTGCGGTACTTTGACTGACATTTATTCCGTCATGCAACGTTGTACTGAAATGAATTTCATACCCTTTTTTGGGGACAGATAGAGCTTTCTTTTGGCGGTATTTAATCACCACTGGGGTTTTTATTTTTTACTATATTAAGGAAAATTTACAGAAAATTAAAAAAAAAAACTGTTTCCCCTATATTAAATTCTAAACATTTATTATTATCCATTTTTTGGGTAAAATATAAAAGACGGGGTTACGTCGAGTAAAAAGACACCAAACATGTCAAGCCTTAAAATTGCGCACGTGCGCGAAACCTCAAAAAACTACCTTACCCAAAATTGGCCATAGGCGACGCTTTAAAAGCTTTTACCGCTCATCAATTTAGTGTTATCAGTGATTAATGGCCCTAAAATGATTGCTCTCACTCCGACGTTTGCGGCGATATGTAACATGTGTAGCGCAATTGTGGTTTTCATGCACTGACGCATCTGACGCACATTTAAGTTTATATGTGCGTAAACTAAGTGGGGGGGACTTAAACATTTGGGGTGGTTTACTTTTTTTATTTGTGACTTTTATTTTTTTAAAACTTTTTTATTTATATATTGTTTTACACTTATTGTTATTGCTATTACATAGGGGGATACAATCCCCCTATATATTAGCAAAGGCACACTGACAGGTCCTCTTTATGGAGACATTAGGGGTCTCTAGGACCCCTAATGTCACCTGGGGACCACAAAAGAAGCTGATGAAGCAGAGATCTGCTTCATCAGCTTCTGCTCTCTGGCTATAGCAGCAAGATGACTGACAGGTGAATGCGGTCCCGGGCCGCAATGGGGGTAGCGGATCCCGGGATTGAAGGTGAGGGGTCAGGGTGACAAAATCACGCCATACAACCGATCGGCGGCTATAGAGCCGCTGATCGGTTGTATGTGAAACAGCCGTTAACGGCTGTAAAAACAAGCGGGCCTTTCCTGCCCGTGCGCGCGCGCGAGCAGGAAAAAAATGCTGTCTGGAGACGGCAACCCGCTGATACGAGTCTGCCGTCCGTCCGTTTTTTCCCCCGGGCGGACGGCAGGAGGTTAAACATGAATATTTAAACAAAGAAAGTCATACAGTTTGAACTGAGCAATCAGCAGTGAATAATCTTGTTAATTATTATTGCAATGAGATACACAAAATAACAAATCAATTAGCAATTTGTATTATGTTACTCTATAAAGAACACAAATTATACCAAAAATATTTTGCCAAATGAAATATTGAAGTGTACAGATGGGTAATTTCAGCAATGTTCATTTTCATGACAATATTCAGTTACCCCTACACAAGGTGCAAATGTTTCAGGTTTGTTTCAAATAAAGCATATTTTGGACCTTAACTGAGTTGTTAAACTAATTATTGTCTCCTAACGCATGCGTTGTTTATGCATAATTATTGCCTAGAGTCTAGATTGTTACAGGTCTGCTACTCACTCAAAGTATTTAGTATTTAAAGTTGACCTTCCATGTCTGCTTAACTGACATCCCTGCAACTACAGGGCGTTTTATTTTATTAAGCCTGTCAAATATAAAGTCTCCTGGAAGCATAGGGCTGAAGTAATTTTTTTTTTTTTTTTTACCCAAAATTGGCCATAGGCGACGCTTTAAAAGCTTTTACCGCTCATCAATTTAGTGTTATCAGTGATTAATGGCCCTAAAATGATTGCTCTCACTCCGACGTTTGCGGCGATATGTAACATGTGTAGCGCAATTGTGGTTTTCATGCACTGACGCATCTGACGCACATTTAAGTTTATATGTGCGTAAACTAAGTGGGGGGGACTTAAACATTTGGGGTGGTTTACTTTTTTTATTTGTGACTTTTATTTTTTTAAAACTTTTTTATTTATATATTGTTTTACACTTATTGTTATTGCTATTACATAGGGGGATACAATCCCCCTATATATTAGCAAAGGCACACTGACAGGTCCTCTTTATGGAGACATTAGGGGTCTCTAGGACCCCTAATGTCACCTGGGGACCACAAAAGAAGCTGATGAAGCAGAGATCTGCTTCATCAGCTTCTGCTCTCTGGCTATAGCAGCAAGATGACTGACAGGTGAATGCGGTCCCGGGCCGCAATGGGGGTAGCGGATCCCGGGATTGAAGGTGAGGGGTCAGGGTGACAAAATCACGCCATACAACCGATCGGCGGCTATAGAGCCGCTGATCGGTTGTATGTGAAACAGCCGTTAACGGCTGTAAAAACAAGCGGGCCTTTCCTGCCCGTGCGCGCGCGCGAGCAGGAAAAAAATGCTGTCTGGAGACGGCAACCCGCTGATACGAGTCTGCCGTCCGTCCGTTTTTTCCCCCGGGCGGACGGCAGGAGGTTAAACATGAATATTTAAACAAAGAAAGTCATACAGTTTGAACTGAGCAATCAGCAGTGAATAATCTTGTTAATTATTATTGCAATGAGATACACAAAATAACAAATCAATTAGCAATTTGTATTATGTTACTCTATAAAGAACACAAATTATACCAAAAATATTTTGCCAAATGAAATATTGAAGTGTACAGATGGGTAATTTCAGCAATGTTCATTTTCATGACAATATTCAGTTACCCCTACACAAGGTGCAAATGTTTCAGGTTTGTTTCAAATAAAGCATATTTTGGACCTTAACTGAGTTGTTAAACTAATTATTGTCTCCTAACGCATGCGTTGTTTATGCATAATTATTGCCTAGAGTCTAGATTGTTACAGGTCTGCTACTCACTCAAAGTATTTAGTATTTAAAGTTGACCTTCCATGTCTGCTTAACTGACATCCCTGCAACTACAGGGCGTTTTATTTTATTAAGCCTGTCAAATATAAAGTCTCCTGGAAGCATAGGGCTGAAGTAATTTTTTTTTTTTTTTTAAATCTTACATTTTGACAGTTTTTTTTTAATGAATATATATTTGGAGGGCTGTTAGTAAAGGGTACCATTAATTTTCATGGACGGGCCGCTTTGAGTAAACCCTTGCCACCACTTGCTTTTTGAATAATGCTGCTGAATATGAGATTCTGAATGGTTATATATCTCACCAGTTCAAGTTCTACCTTTTACTGTCCTTTCCAAGCTGCCCATTTGTACTTGCTTTTTCTGTTGTCATACCCAGCAAACATCATTGCTCTATTTTG